CCTTCAGAACCCAGTGGAGGCTGCAGCTGCCCTTGTGGTCCTACCTGCCCAGACGCACGGCTGGGTGGAGGCCAGGGAAGGTGCCGAGCCCCCTGGACTGGGTGCATCACTGTACCACATGGAGTACTTGAAGCAACTTTTTAAAGAGCCCTTTCAGATGCTCCTAAGTCGCTCCTTAGCCCCACCCCCACTGTCCCCTCCCTCCTAAGTCAAGGCCATGTCCCCCGGGGCTGATGGCTGTCCACGCTCTGCATGCAGTTAGTGGGCTCCTGAGCTGGAAATGCCACTAGTGCCATGAGTAATGCCCTCAGAATCCTACCTTCCACATTTTCTAGAAAGTCCATTCTCATTCTTTTTTCTGTAACCACACTAGTCACGTAAGCCATAAACTCCCAGCAGCAATTTCTCCTCCAGTTACTTTGAAGTTAAAGGAGGGGAAAGGAGGGGGCTGCTTCTAGGCTGAGAACCTCTTCCCTAAAGTGTTAAGGACACTCCAGCTCGGGGATGCTGACAGGCCCCACTGCAGAGCACGCAATTCATGGCGGCGCCGGGCCCAGCGCAGCAAGCCTTCAGGGGTGCAAGGGTTTTGCTGCAGAGGCTCTGATACAGGTTGTCCTCTGCCCACGCCGCCATTTCTCCTCCTCTCCCTGGATTCAACCAGCTGCAAACGCACCGACAATGGGGCTCTGATGAGCGAGGCACGCGCTGAATGTGGCCTCGGTCCCGCTCTGGGCTGCTCCAACCCAGGGGTGCTGGGGAGGCAGAGGGTGGGGGGATGGGAGGGGAACACCCATCCTGTGGCCCACTGTGTCCTCACTTGGCTTTCTATGACCTTGAGATGGAACCTGAGTCCCCCTGTGGTCCTTGGGTCTCTAAAGAGAGACAGGAAGACAGAGAGGACAGAGAGCAGCTTCTGTTCTGGCTTTTGGGCAGACACAGAGCCGATGGCCCTGAGCTCAATGTGTGTCTCTGGGCCTTTTACGGAAATCATTTCTGGCATCGGAAAAGCTACCATCATCGTAGGCTTATGTGGCCAGTTCTGTGCTGAGCATCTGACACGAGTGATCTCACTTAAACCTCATAGCAACCCCAGAAGTGAGGTTCCATTATCACCCTGCATTTACAGATAAGGAAACCGAGTCTCAGAGAGCCTAGATCACTTGCTTCAAGTCAATCTGCCATAAAGTGGCAGAGCCAGGGCTGGGCCCCACTGCCTCTTGGGGAGAGAACATTACCAGAAAGGGATGTCACTCAAAAGCACGACAAAAATGCAAAACGCTGAAAAGTAAACTTCATGAGAGAATAAGATCTACAAAGAAGACCCTAAAGCTTTGCTGCAGGACGGCAAGATGACGCGACACCTTGCTCCCGAGAGGGAGATTTCAACCCAGCAAAAGGGCAATTTCCCCATAAACAAACTTGTTACAGTGGCCAAGATCTGGGTGAGTGCTTTACACTTGCTCTGTAAATAAGCCTAAGAGGCAGGTGTACCATCATTAGCCTCATTTCACAGGTCCAAGGAGTGTCTGGGCCTGGTGGCCAACTGTTAGGGATGTCATAGGGGCAACCGATGTCCTTGACACCACCCTGAGAACTTTAAGCGCAGGTTGGGAGGCAGCTGTGCCTAGGAGTGGGGGCTCACCCGAGGCCCCTCCTGGGCCGGCCCCTCAGGAACATGGACAGGACCCCTGTCCCGTGGGTGCTCGGCACTGGGGGCACGGCCTTCTTGCAGGCAGAGCTCACTCAGGCAGCGTGTCAGCCGTCCCACCTCCCGAACAGGGACCTGGCAGGATGCTCTGAGCGTGCACCCGGCATTCCATGCTGCGGCAATCAGGGTCACATTTTCACTTAAAACATGAGTCACTGGCTCTCTAGCTAATGGGAGGATTTCTACTCTAGTGCCAAGAATATAAATTTGACACCTGCAAATTCTTTCTGACAAAAGGGATTTTCAGATAATGTCTGCACGGAGCAGGTGGCAATGAGCAGACAGCTGCTCATCCCGGATGACGGAATGGCAGACACAATTGCGGGTGTCACAGGGCGGGGACTGCTGAGCTGTCACTCAGGTAGAACTGAGGAACGATGGCAGACCAGACACCCCAGTGAGGCCACATGCCCATGGGACTGCACCAGGTGGCCCTGGGAGCAGAGTTAGGTCTCTGAGGCTCTGCCCCGCCCCGGGCCAGGTCTTGCATCATCAACACCTGAGTACACTCTGTCCCCTGAGGCCAGTGGCTCTCGGCACAGGGGAATGTGGGTTTAGCCCGATCCTCCTGGGAAAGAAAAATATTTGCAACACAGATGACACATCCAATGTCAGAAATATACAAAGAGCTTCTACAAATCAATAAGAAAAGTAGACAATGGATTTGCGGGTTGAAGGGGCAGTGTTTCCAAAATACACACACTTCTCCCCACCACATTGAAAATTCTTCTCAAGAACTTGTGGAATAGGAGAAAAAGGCCAGAAAAATTTGTCCCGGTGAAATCACAAGGGAATGGGGATGATGTGACAACCAAACACAAGCTCCCCACCTCCCAGCTGGTGGTGAGGTGGGTGGCTGGGCCTGCACTGGGGGAGACACGGGCGTGGTGGGTGACAATTAAGGGCTTTGGGCCTGGGCTCCACCACCTCCTAGCTGTGTGGAAGTTACTTAACCTCCCTGGCCTTAGTTTTCTGAACTGCAAAATGGAAATAATAGAACTTCGCCCAGAGAACTGTGGTGATGCTTCTGTAGGTACCACAAAGGAAGGGTCTCACACAGTTCCTCACATGGTAATGACTTCTACAACTGAGAGTCATCTGAGATAACCTGTGCCTTGAGCCCCCCAAGCTGTACGCACGAGCCATCGCAGGGAGTGCTGAGGTTAAATTCCACCACCGTAGGCTTCCCAGGGAAGGGACCCACCAGTCTGGCTGTGGTCCTATTTGACTCACTAGGCTTTCATGGTCTTGAACCCCAAGAGCTCCAATTTGAGACCAGGGCTGTATTTGAAAATATTTAAACAACCCCAATGGAGAACATTTTCTAGATATTCTGGAAAGGAAGTTCTAGGAGAAAACGGGCTTTGTCTGGTTCATGGCCCTGTTTCTATTGCCAAGTACACAGCACGTCCTCAGGGTCGCCAGAGAGACTGAGCAGGGGACACTCAGGAATGTGATTCTGGTGAAGCAGCAGGATGTGGCAGAATCAGGACTCACCACTGATTGTCAGGGTCCCCAAATCCCTCCTCTAGAGAGATAGGGAAACAGGAGCTCTTCACTCCTGTTACAGCACCCCTCCCCCAACTGTCCCCAACTGTCCCCAAGAGCGGCTTTAATCTCCTACCCACCGGAGGCCCACAAGATGTGCCCCAAAGCCCTGACAACATTTGGCACTTCAGCAAATCAGGTTTCCACAGGCAGCCTGAACAGAGCTGTTTAATGGACTGCATCTCCTCCCGCTCCCCGTAAATGCACACGCACACAGAAACCAATTTCAGGCAAAGAAAGCTGGATGGGATTAAACAACTCAATTTAAAGGACTGAAAACTCAGCTGCTTCCAGTGAAGTCCTAGGAAAGGAACCAATCAGCAAAGTTCTTCTCTGCCTTTTTGTATTGAAATGAGGGCTGTTGACTGTGCGGTGAGTCACTCCCGACACACACGGGCAGAACTGGGCCACATCCACCTGGGCCTTGCGCTGCAGGGGTGGTGCAGGGGGAGAGGGGAGGGTGTGGGGGAGGGGGGCGGGGGGAGGCAGGAGAGGCCAAAGACACACTCACAGACCATCTGTTTTGGATTTTTCTGGAAATGCAGAAAACCTCAGGGGACCTAGAGGCTGATACCTGCCTGTCCGTGTCTCTCTGCAGCCCAGGTTCAGGACAGCAAATAAGGGATGCAGGACAGCTGCCTGGGTCCCCACAGGAATCTGACACCGGTCCAGGGAAGATCAAGGTGCCTCACCCCACAGGGAGCTGTGAGCAATGTCCCTCTCCCGTCCCCCTGGCCCCCAGCCCTTGTCCACTCACGCTGCCACGGGAAAGTGTAGGCAGGTTTGTGGATTCGAGAGCCCTGTGCCTTGTGCAGACACGCTCTGCCTGCAGCCCACAGACTCAGACTGTCAGCATCCAACACACAGCCTGCAGGGCTGGCATGGATGGGGGACAGGTGTCGCCCTTGCCAGCGGGCATGCCTGGCTGCAAATGCTGCCACTTGGCTAGGGACAGGCAGGGGAGCCCTGGAGAAGAACCACCCGCCCTGACTCCATGGTATGGACAGTGCTGAGAACCGTGTGGGGAAAGGTGCGTGGTTGGAGGAGACCCGCCCCCTGCTGACAAGAGGGGGACCCAGGGCGCCCGTGTCCCCCAGGCCAGCCTCCGCACTCTGGTCCTCTCAGAGGGGGTTACTCCCGCTGCCTGGGATCTGGGGCAGCCTCTCCCCTTCGTGCCTGGAGCTCTTGGTGGCCCCAGCAAAGCTTAAGGGTCCAATTTCAAACTAGAGGTCCAAACGGATGCAGCTGAAATGAGTAACACAAGCAAGGCCGACTCAGTGCTCAGCTCGTGCCCCGCACGGCACTTAGCATTCCGCGGGGAGTGTGGTGGTCTCATGCCCCCTGGTACTGCTGTGCCCCATTGAACAGAGAAGAAACAGATGCAGAGATGCGAAATGGCTTGCTCAAGACTGGGCAGAGAGCCTGACCCCGAAGCCAAGTTCCCACCAACCTCCGAGGTCCTTGCAGGAAAGACACGCAAACTCCCGCAGCCTCCTGTCCTGACTGACGCCCTGCCCCAAGGCACAGACAGAGTCCTTACTCCCAAAGCTAAGAGCACAGCTGTACCTCTAGTAAGGATGCACCTTACCAGGTATGAAGAATAGGGTGATATTTTGGTGTTGATTTAAGAGCACAACAACAAAGTAAGCACATCTCAGCTATAAGAGCCCACCACCCTAAGTCACTCAAAAGGGGAGGCAGGGCAGCCCATGTTCCATGAGGAAGGGTGGTGTTGGCGACCTACCTCGTCCGACTCATCTGATAACGTCTGCAGTAGGATGGGGAAGAGGCTGTCCGTGTGCCGGAACATCTGGAGGGCAGAGAAGCAGGGGCACCCGTGAGCTCTCCCAGGGTGGCACTCGATGCAGTGTCCCACTGGTCTGAATGGACCGTCTACTCCCTGGGACACCGAGGGTTCCTCCCAGCACTTGTCACTCCTCTGCTGGCCAGGGTTTCTCTAGAACTGCAATGACCAAAGCCCTACCAAGCATGAGCATGGCCTTGAACCAAGGTGGACCCAGAAGAGGCCCCTGGCCTGGGAGGGGCCTACTGGGTGATGGGCCCAGGGCTCACCTTCCGAGGAGTCTTGATGTAGAGGTGGTAGAGCCACTTCAGAACAGCAATCCTGGTCATCATCCCGATGGTCATGTCACTGAGGTGGCAGTTTAGGACCTGCACAATCCCATCGAGGTGCAGGGTCACTGGGGCTCTTTCGGTGCTGTGGGCAAGACCAAGGGGGAGAGCTAGGTTGAAGCCCACCAGAGCCAAGCTCACCAAGCCACAGCACCACCCGAGGCCTTGCACTCCGAATCGCACACAGCCACCCCACTGCCCTGGGGGCTGGCGGTTGGGTGGGAGCCCATGGCTCACACCCTCGCCTGCCTCCCACCAGCCCCGCCTGGCCAAGCCCGGGGGTTGGAGGGAGGGCTTCTCTCTCCCTTTCCAGAGGAGTTTGGAGCTTGCTGCTTGGCTGGAGCTATGGTAACCACACTTGGGGGAGGAGGACCAGTCTTCTGGGCTCCCCCTCACTCCCCTTTTCTTTCTCCAGCAGGATTCTGGCGTGCACAGGTAGCAAAAACCCCTCCAGCATCACTGAGCCGTCCCCCTCCGGACTCAGGGCGTTATGTTCAGACCCTTTGTCGACAAAGGGAAACCAGCAGGTCCGACAGCACAGCGAGGGCCCCGATAACAGCCCTTGACACCCGACAGGTCCTTTGCCGAGCAACCAAAGAATGGGGACAGGGATGGTGGCTTGTCATCTCGCCCTGTCCCAGAGCGCTTAGCACAGAAGCCTTGACTGCTGTCTATGAGATGAACCACACTCTTTAGAGCTGGGGAACAGGCAACAGAGCCTCTGCCTGTGAGACACTGACGAGTTCAGCACACACTTTTGCTCTAATGGGCATGGGAAGCCCCCTGGCTTCCAAGGACCAAAGCCTTGCTGGTCTCCAGTCACAGAAAAGTCCTGCTAGGCAGCCTGGGGGACAGTGGGTGCCACCAGGGGACTGTGAGTTAGCTTCCGCCCAAAGCACGACTCCCCGGCAGAGGCTGTGGCTTTCAGGGATGGGGACTGCATGGGTAGAAAAGCTCAGATGTCAGGGAGAGGCGCCTTCTGATGCGTCACACTGTATTTGCCAAAAGCTGCTCTGGAAGGTGCGGGCTGCCTTTCCCAAGGACCTGGGCCAGGCAGACCAGTCGCCCACCTATACGACATGGTCCTTCGTGGCATTTGCAGGCTGCTCAATTATTCATTCGCATCAGGAACTGACGGCTGTGCTTTCCCCATTCGCCTGCAGCCTCTCTGAAGCTCATTTGATGTGAATTCCCAAAGGGCGCAATTCTGAGCTCTGTAATTGCGAAGCGGAATCGCTGTTTAATATGGTTTGATGATCCCGCAGTGCCCGTTTCAGGGGTAAGAGTGGGCACAGCTATCCTCTGATGGCCGGAAGATCTGGGCATGTGACACAGTGACAGATCCCAGAACTGAGCCTCTGGGTGGGCGGCTACTGTGATTTCCCGGGAGTCACGTGGCTGGAAGTTCCTGGTGTCATCTGAGGATATCAAAACTTCCAAATTCTTTGGTAGCCTAAGACAGACGGGGAAACTCCAGCATAGACAGGGGAGTTCACGGCAGTAAACTCCGGCTCTCAGCCAACGTCTTTATCAGTCTCTCTCAAGCTTGTTGCCCAACAGAAATACAATGCGAGCCGCAGACATCATTTTACATTTTCTAGTTTTAAATTAAAAAGGAAAAAGAAACTGGTGGTGGCATTAATTTTAATGGTGTTTTAATTAACCCAATATATCCCAAATGAGCATTTCAACACGTAATCAATACAACAGTCAATATAAATATTACTAACAAGATAACTTATATTCTTTTTTGTGTCCCAAGCCTTGGAAACCCAGCGTGTGTTTCACGCTTACGGGGTGTCTCAGTTCAGACCTGCCACGTTTACAGCCACGTGACTTGCTGCGCTGGTCAACCAAGTGATCTGTGCCAAGGCTTCCAAAGCATTTCTTATCATCTGATGATTTCCTAGATGCTCTCTTGCCCTGTGCTGAAGGCAGCCTTTACTCTCTTGTCTCCATATCCCTCCTGCAGAGCTCCTTCCCTTATGACTCTGGGTGGGTCTTTTTTTTTTTAGTGAAAGAGGCTGTGACCTTTAATCAGTATTAGAAACACTGTCACCTTCTCATATTTATGGAGTCGTGTCCCTTCTGGGTGGGTCTTAATGGGCCAGCAGACGCCCGTGGCTAGAGGAGCTGGCGCTTTAGTGGAGGGAGAGACGTCTACCCACAGCAAGGCCTTACGCAAAGCGGGTGGTGAATGACGAATGCATGCAAGTCTCCTCCCCTGCCCTGGCCTCATCTTTCCTAACCCTGTAAGCCCCCAAGTCCATAGTGAGCCCCTTTACACCAGAAGCTGCAGGGTGTTCAGGCTGCCACACGGCGCCCAGGGTGTCACGAGTGCCCTTCCCTGGCAAATCACTGCCACATTCTTAGCTGCAACGACCCCCCTGGGAGGAAGACCTTGTTTGTACGTCCTTACCCCGGAGACTCTGGACTGCCCGGGCCTGGCAACGGCTTGCATGGAACTGCTGGGGGAGGGAGGCAGTGCCGAGGCCAGGTCTCCGCTCCACCTCCCAGGGTGGCCCAGGGGTGTGCGCGAACCTCCAGGAGGAATAATGGGTCTGACAATGACGACTGTGCTGAAGACGACGGTAATGAGCCCTCTGCTGAGAGCTTTTCTTGTATAGCCGTGTGTGACTCGCTCAAGAGCCCAAGTGGTGTTACTTCCATTTTGCAGAAGAGGGAGTTGAAGCACAGAGACATTAAGCGATGTGTCTGAGGTTGCACAGCCAGGAAGTGGAGCCGGCAGTCTGAATCTGAGCAGCCTGACTCCAGAATGGTCTCGTACACTGCAGGGCACTGCCTTCCACTAGAGCAGCAGGCTCAAGAGAGTACATGGTGGCATCAAATGTCTCCAGGAGACTCCAAATATCTCCTGGTGGGGTGGCCCCTGTGAGGACAGGCCCCTCTCTGGCCAGGGCAGACCAGGTAGAGGGAGGAGGCCATCACACACATCAGAAAGGGAGACAAAGTGTCCATGTGGGGACACCTGGGGAAACCTGATGCTTCCCGCCTGTGTGGGACACACTCTACAGCCAAACAGGGCCCAGGTCCCTCCACAGGCCCAGCCCCGTCACTCACAGTGGTCCGCAGATGCGGCTGGCCAGCCCACAGTGGCACCTCCTTCACGTGGCGCTGCCTCAGGGCCAAATAACAGAAGGAATTCACAGAGCCAGTGTGTATAAAGTGGCAGCATTTTGCGAACTAACATTCTTGAACTTTCCCGCAGCAAATGCCAGTTTGCCCAAACCTGAAGACATGGAGTCTTCAGACTGCTGGTGAGGCAGGCTAGTCCTCAACCTACCAAGAATTCAGTGACTGAAGGGGCTCTCGTGGTTCATGTAACTGCATCCTTCAATGCCACGGATGAGCAGACCCAGTCCGGAGACAGGACAGGACCCATCCAAGGCCAGGACGCTTTGCATCGAGAACTCATTCCCTAGGCTGGAGACGCTCTCTTCCCTTGGGTCTCTCTTTCCTTGGCTGTCTGGAGATGAAGTCATGGGAGGCGGGTGTACCCCAGGGCACCTGGGAGATGGATCTTAGTGCCAGGGAAGGGGAGGGTCACCATGCTACCTTCCCCTGAGCAGGCAGCTCTCAGCAGTTCTGCTGGGTAGGGCTGGCTGCGGCTATGGCTGAATCTGTGCACGCTTGGCGGGGGAGCGGGGGCTCCGGGATCCCGGGTCCCTCCTGGAGGGGCCGTGCTGCGTGAGGTCTGGAGCCCGAGATGTAGCACCCTTCGCCCTGGCCTACCTTATCCATCAGCAACAAAAGGAGCTCACTCCCAGTTTGCAATACATTTCTGCGTTGGTTCCAAAATGTCTAGACGAGTCACTGCTGGGGGCTTCTGAGTTATTTCAAGGTGTCTGCAAAGCCCCGTTTTCCCTGAGCATTTTTTCTCATAAAGCCTCTTATAATGAATGTCTTACACATATATGTGCTACAATTTCCAAATGCATGGCACTGCTGTGGCTATTAAAATATAGATTTACTGAATAATGTTTCTGATACTACCAATAAATAATAATAAGTTCCAGTTGTTCTCTGGGAGACAGTACTTTATTTCTGTAACGTCTAACTCTTTAGACCTGCTCAAGTTACATCTCTAATCAAATTAGAAGAAAGGTAAATCTAAAAATAGAGCTGCTTCTGAACTTGAAATTGCTTTTTAAAAATGTAAGATCATTGCACATTTTTCCAATCATCAGATGCTAGCAGTTGGGAAGCACTGATTTCTAGATCTTTCTGCCTGCTTATGTATAGGGCAGCCAGCTGTAACCGGGGCACTGTACTGAATGTCTCTGAAGACACCGTGACCCTTGGCAAGGCCCTGGCGTCAGAGTGGAAGACCCTTCATCCAGCGACTCCCCTTTGAGATGCGTGACAACTCCAGCATCAGATGAGCCGGGAGGGAGGCCAGCTGCAAAACTTCTGGAATTCCAACGGCAACTCATGAAGCTAAACACATGGGCTCTGGAGTCACAAAGACCGGGGTTAAATTCCAGCTTGGTCAGTGATTAGCTTCCTCTGGGTCTGATTCCTCATTTGTACATGAGGATAATGAGGTTCTTTTTTTTTTTTGAGATAGTCTTGCTTTGTTGCCCAGGCTAGAGTGAGTGCCGTGGCGTCAGCCTAGCTCACAGCAACCTCAAATTCCTGGGCTCAAGCAATCCTGTTGCCTCAGCCTCCCGAGTAGCTGGGACTACAGGCATGCGCCACCATGCCCAGTTAACTTTTTTTTTAATATGTATTAGTCGGCCAATTAATTTCTTTCTATTTATAGTAGAGACGGGGTCTCGCTCTTGCTCAGGCTGGTTTCGAACTCCTGACCTCGAGCAATCCGCCCGCCTCGGCCTCCCAGAGTGCTAGGATTACAGGCGTGAGCCACCGCGCCTGGCCAATAATGAGGTTCTTGTAATAGTGATTGTAGCTAAAATGTGTAAAGTGCTTTCTCTGTGCCGGGCACTGTCCTATGTGCTCTTTACATACTGTCACTCATTTATCCCCACACCCATTGGAGGTAGGTCACTGCTATCCTTATACTCATATTACAGATGAGGAAATGGAGGCAGGCAGAAGTCATGCCATTTGCCCAAAGGCCACCACCAGGCACGCTGGAGTCAGGATGTGAACCCAGGCAGTTGGCGCCACCACTCAGAGCACTCATGAGACATCAAGAATGTGTCCGGTGGACAGAGGTGGTGAAGACTATTCCCTCTTACTCGGTCCTTGGCTGTGAGCATTCTCCCGCTGCCCTATTTCTTTGTCCTTCACCCCTCCCGAGGAGGCCAGTTTTCGACTTCCGGTGTATTTCCTGTGCAGGAACTCAGACCTGCTTTTCCAGTGGCTAAGCCCGTGGCCACCCAGGGCTTGTCCCAGGAAAGAGGGGAGCGGATGGGTGAGAAGAGGCTCATGCTCTTGAACTGAGTCAGTTCATTCTCCCTGTGTTTTGAGCCAACTGAAGAATCTTTTTAAAAAAATTGAGGGTGTAAGCATTCGAGGTAATCCCTGAACCCGTGAATGTGAATCCAGACACTGTTCCAGGAAGAGGGTGCGTAGCTTTCCTCAGGCTCTCCGAGGGTCAGTGACTGCCACCATCCCCCGGTGGGGATGAATGCCTTGCTGCCACAGGAGGAGTTCCTGGTTTGGCCACTGCCCCTGGCAGGCCTGAACTGAGTGAAATGGGCAACTCCGGGTGGCGCTGGGCAAGCGATGCATCTGCAAATGGCAGGGCGGATTTGTTTCTTGGTGTTCCTGCACCAGGCCTAGACCGTCCAAGCTCAACTCAGTCTCCCTTCAGCAGCACCGACTGCGGGAGGGAGGAGGTGGGGCCCAGGCACCCCAGCTCTGGCGTTCCAGCTCTGCAGGCTGCCCCCCCCCCCTAGAGCGGCCAGCGACCAGTCTGTGCAGCTGCCGCGAGGAGAGCTTCATGCTCTTGCCGGGAGTCAGGAAGGACCAGATGATCTGTTCTTGTTTGTTTCTTTATTTTAAAAGGAAAGGAGTCACCACTGGCTACTGAATGACAGGTATGACCCAAAACCCTGGTTCCAGTCTGTCGGTTCCTGGCCTTCGCACAGAACTGAGGCTCCCGTAGGCCCAAGCCCGCCAACAGCAGCGCTGTCTCCCCAGCAGGGGAGCGGGGAGCTGGGGGCCCCCACATCCATCAGTCAGGCCCTCCCTGTGCTTCTTCCTGGACCTCCCCGACCTCCCACTGCCACTCCCTTGGAGCGTGGCAACCCCTGTAGCCCAGATTATAGTGACAAGTCTACAACAGGCTTTTCAGCTGCCAGATGGAGGCGTCTAAATCCCAGATCTGATCCTGCCATTGCCATTCCCACTCCCAGCGCTGGCTCCCACGGCCTCCGGGACAACAGCAGAACCCTTGGCAGGACACCCTAGTCTGCATCTCCGTCCAGACCTCTCCCCGAGTTCCGGGATCCAGAGTCCAGCCTACCTCCTTCCCTCCTCTGGGATGCTCAGAGCCACCTGGAGCGGCGCTCGGACCGCACCACTCACACCTGCTCTTCCTTCCAGCCCCGGCTGGGAAATGATACCAGCGTAACTGGAGTTTGGCTCCCGCTAAATATCTAGAAGTTATTCTTCCCCTCACCTCTCTCCTGTCATCAGCTAATCTCGTTTTCCGCCTCCAAAGCAAACCTCAAACCCACACGACTTTCTCCATCTACGGACCCCCAGCAGAGCCTCTGTCCCTGCTTGCCGGGATGGCTGTGGTGGCTCCCCAGCTGGTCTGTGCCCACTTGAGCCCCTAGGTCCATTCTGTACACAGCAGCCCCCTGCTCGCCCTCCTTCCTCACTCCTAAGGTGAAGATAATACTACTGACCCCAGGGGACTTAAACAAAATCGAAATGGTCTGGGGCAAAGGATTCAGCACAGCACCTGGCCCCGGCAGCACCTGCTGAGTGCTCACCCCTGCTACCCACCGTTCTCAAGGCCAGCTTGGGCACCACGGCTTATTCCCCCAACACTCTCTGAGGAGCAATCACCCCCATTTCCAGTAACTTCTCCCCTCTTTGCAACCACCAGTTTTTCTGGTAACTTCCTGGCTACTTCTCTGCCTCCCTATGAAAGCACTACGTTCAGGGCTGGCTCTTTATCTCGGAACCTGAACGAGGCAGGTGCTCTGGAAATGCATGACAACTGACTGAAAACAAGCGAATATTACATTTGCTGAACTTGACGCATGTGGAAGAGGCCCTGGGGTACATGTTTATAGTCAGTACTTGCACGCTTGGAAAACACGCTCAGGGTCCTTAGAGATAAGAATTAATTCACAAGTGATATGAAAGGAGGAAAGGTCCTAGGGTCTGGGAGAAGAGCCTCTTGGGGTTGAGTGCACGTCTTTTCTTCGCGAATGACTGGCTCCCCCAGGGCCCAGGTTCACCATCAAGTTCAGAGGGAAGAAACCCCCTGTAGCAAAACTGCCATCCAATCCAGCACCACAGGCACCAATGCTACCCGAAGGAAAAGTGGCATGGGGCCAGTCCAGGGGACTCAGACCAGGACAGAACCCTGGCAGTTCCCTCCCCAGGGGAACCCCATGTCCCTGCAGGGAGTTGGAGGGAGTCGCAAGGAGGGGGACTGTTTCGCTGCTTGGCCTGCACTGCCCTCTCGTGGAAGGCTTCGTTATTACAGCTGCCCTGGGCGCTCCTGGGCCTGCGCTCCAGCCCTTAATCTATCAGTTAATGACTACGTATGTTCTGGGATGTCCCGTATGTTCTGGGATGTCCCGTCAGCCTCACCTTGTCCTGCACAAGCAGAAGGTGCTGGGCCCAGGCACCTGCAAGTGTCTCACTGCAGTCACCACACAAGCTGTACGTTTATGACTTGCATTTACTGCCCTCCTGCAGTTTCTAATCCCTCCCCAAAAGCTACCTATCCAGCAGGGTGGGTGGGGTGGGCTTGCCCAGTGCCCTTCAGACCCTTCATCAAGCAATGCCCTTGTGTACGAGGGCGCACCCAACGTAGTGTGGCCTCAAGCAAAGTCTGCCTTGGGTCTTTGATACAGTCTCCCGCACCCAGGAAAGATCTCAGCTGTGTACCTTCCACAAACACTTCTGGCTGGAACAAACCACTTACCTGGCCGGAGTGAAGACACTGATGCCGCTACCGAAGCTGGAGTCACAAGAACCATCTGGACCTCCTGGGGGAGGAAGAGGAACAAGGTGTCACGAAAGGCTGTTGGGTCTTTAGAATAAACAAGATCCCTGTTACAATGCTGGCGTGGATGCGGAGAGAGAGGAACACTCCTCCACTGCTGGTGGGACTGCAAACTAGTTCAACCTCTGTGGAAAGCAATATGGAGATACCTCAAATCGATACGAGTAGATCTAACATTTGATCCAGCAATTCCACTACTGGGCATCTACCCAAAAGATCAAAAGTCAATTTACGAAAAAGACACCTGCACCCGAATGTTTATAGCAGCACAATTCACAATTGCAAAGCTGTGGAAACAACCCAAGTGCCCATCAATTCATGAGTGGATTAATAAAATGTGGTATATGTATACCATGGAGTACCACTCAGCTTTAAGAAACAATGGTGATATAGCACCTCTTGTATATTCCTGGATACAGCTGGAACTCATTCTACTAAGTGAAGTACCTCAAGAATGGAAAAACCAGCACCACGTGTACTCACCAGCAAATTGGTATTAACGGATCAACACCTCAGTGGACATACAGGAGTAACATTTATCAGGTGTCGGGAGGGTGGGAGGGGGGAGGAGGGGATGGGTATATACAACCAAACGAGTTAGATGTACAACGTTTGGGGGATGGACATGCTTGAAGCTCTTACTCGAAGGGGGAGGGGGGCATGGGCAATAGATGTAACCTTACTTAACACTTGTACCCCCATAATACGCTAAAATAAAATAAAAAAGATCCCTGTTACAAGTACATGTCAGACCCCATAGTACCCACACCCTGATTCAGGCTCTCAAAAAGGAACACGGCTCTAGACCCCTGAGGACCCAACGCTGACTCATGCCCCAAAGCCCTCGGACAGTACCCATGCCTGTAAGTTCTCAGGCACAGTGATCTTTCAAGGAGGGGACGCCAGTGCCGAACACACCTGGGACATCTCAGAAGGTGCTACTGGCCTGTGGGCAATGGACGTTCACAATGACTGGGGCACTCATCATCCTTAGCTAGCAGCAAAACACAAATCCAAACCACAGGGAGACACTACTTCACACCCAGTAGGACAGCGAAAATAAAAGAGACCAACAATACCAAGTGTTGGTGAGGATGTGGAGAAACTGGAACTCCCACCCACTGCTGGTAGGAATGGTGCAGTCACTCTGGAAAACAGCCTGGCAGTTCCTCAAAAGGCTAAACACAGAGTCCCGTATGACCCAGCAATTGCACTCGTAGGTCTATGCCCAAGAGAAATGAAAACCTATGTCCACACAAAGCTTGGACATCGTGTTCACACCAGGATTGTCTCCAACAGCCAAAAAGTGGAAACAACTCAAACGTCCACCAGCTGACAGATGGACAAATGAAATACGCTGCAGCCATACAAGGAACTAGTATGTGGTGATCAACAGGTGGAGTTCTGATACATGATATAGCACGGACGAACTTTAAAAAACACTGTGCTAAGTGAAACACACCAATCACAGAAGACCACATATTATATAATTCCATTTACAGGCAACATCCTGCATAGGCAAATTTATAGAGAAAGTAGGTTAGAGACTGCCGAGGGCTGGAAGAGAAGGGGGAAAGGGATTCTCTTTAGGGAACCGAAGATCCTCTGAACTTGATTTTGGCGATGGTTATACAACTCTGTGAATACACTAAAGTCACTGAATTGTACCCATCCGAGTTGGGTGAATTGTATGGTGTGTGAATTGTATCTCAATACAGGGCTTAAAAAATGACTCTGGGAAAGGACTGCGACCCTGCACCTGGCCCCAGTCTTCCTCCGTGTGGCCAACTCAGTACCTGTCATTTGTGTTTAACTTCTTGCTGCACGACCCAGGATAGAAAAGGCATCACTGATTTATTTTTCCCACTTAAGGAATAATCCTAAAATTCCAACCTTTGTCTTTTGGCATCTAATTACATTTCCTAAAGAGCCAAGATGTTCTGGATCTGGAAGGCTGCCAGCAGGACCCTAGTCCAACTTGAGCTCTGGTCCGCTGGCTTCAGTCCTATGGCATGTAGGGACAGGAGGGAGCTGGCAGTACTCTCTGGAACCCACTCAGACTCCGTGACTCACAGCATGCCTGGGCACCCTTTTTGCCCTCAGTTTTCTCATCTCTACAGTGAGACTGACACCATTTACACTGCCTGATCCATATTTTACATACATTTTCCTAAATTAAAAAAAAATGCTTTCATCTTGAAATTAATTTTGCATGTTCAGAAAAGTTGCAAAAGAGTAAAGAATTCTCTGTATACCCTTCACCAAATGTTAGCTGCCCGGATGCTAACATTGTACATGCCCATAGTACAATTATTAAACCCATGAAGTTAACATCCGTACAATACCATTAACTAAATGATAAACCTAATTTGAATGTCACAAGTTTTCCCACTCTTATATTTTCTTTTCTTTTTTTTTTAGAGAGAGAGTCTTGCTCTGTTGCCTGGACTAGAGTGCTGTGCTGCAGCCCAGCTCACAATAACCACCAACTCCTGGGATCAAGCAATCCTGCTGCCTCAGCCTCCCAAGCAGCTGGGACTACAGGCATGTGCCATCATTGGCTAATTTCTTTCTATTTTTAGTGGCGACGGGTTCTCGCTCTTGCTGAGGCTGGTCTCGAACCGCTGATCTCAAGCGATTCTCCCGTCTCGGCTTCCCAGAGTGCTAGGATTACAGGCGGAAGCCCCCATGCCTGGCCCGGATCCCCAGATTCTACACTCAAACTACACTATTTGGCCTCTCACATCAAAGTGTTAATGGTGATGGATCCACAAGCCAAGGAATGCAGGTGGTCTTAAGAAATTGGAAAGGGCAAGGAAATGGATCCTCTCAAGAGGCTCTGGAAGGAACGAAAACTGCTGTCCCATATTACACTTCTTATCAGAAGTCTGCCCGAGTGTCTTATTAAGTTGACATTTATATCATAAACATAGATTAAAACAACAACAAAGCACTTGCTTTACATGCAAAAATTTTTTTTTGAGACTCACAACCATACCCCAGGTTAGATATTATTACTCTCACTCTGACAAGGAAGCAATCTGAAGCTTTAGAAAGGGTGAACAGCTGTCTGTGGGCAACAGACATGAAGTGTGCAGAGCCAGGACTCACAGGCAGGTTGCTGGGACCCCAAAATCTTTGCTGTGACACCTGAGACAACCAGGGGACGTCACAGAGGGGACCAGGCTGGACGTGCCAAGTGGCGTAAGAACTGAGAACCTGGGAAAGGACACGTGTTGTGGGTTCCCCCAAGGGGCAGGCCAAGGCAGGGGCCAGAGCAAGTGATGAGGGCTGCCCTGACCGGAGGTCTGTGGTCAGTGGAGGAGGGAGAAGCTCTGGAGGGTGTATGTGTATGTGTGTGTGTGTGTATGTCTGTCTGTCTGTCTTGCCTGGAGTGTGCAGTGAAGAACGTGGGGCTGTGGCTGAGTCAGCACAACTTCACCAAGACCAGGCAGGAGGGCCCTGTCTTCAGCCTGGCCTATGGTTGGAACAGCGGGAGCAGAGAGGGAAGAGTAAGAGGGAAAGGCTGGGGTGGACTTGTCCATTGCGCAGCTAATCCCCTATCTCCTGGCTTCTGGGACCTTCTCTTGGGCATCCTGGGAAAAGACTGGTGATTATGTAGTTACAAGCTGAGCGGGCCTGAGAGTGGATGTAAAGGTCCCGAACAGCTGCTGCTGTCTCTGGGAACTGCCATAAAGTAAGCTTCTCATCTGCCAAAGTGCTCTTTAGAGGCAGTAAAATCCAGAGCCAAGATGCCTGAATGTATCCTGGTTTAGGATAACGGTCGCCTGAGCAGGCAGCTGTTTGAAGAATGCTTAGGGAAACTCCCTAAAAAGGTAAGTGAACTGCATTGGCCGGGAATCGAACCCGGGCCTCCCGCGTGGCAGGCGAGAATTCTACCACTGAACCACCAATGCTTCAGCTAATGATGAGGTTTTTAGCTGCTGCCACGAACCACAGAATGAAGCAGTTCCTCCTCAGAGAACTTGACTTACAGCCACATAAGCAGAAATGGAGGGCAGGGGCCACTGGGTTCCACTTTAGGGGAACAGGCAATAACTATTTTTTAGTTGAGAAACAATTCATATAACAAAATTTCACATAACACAAAAGCATACAACTGGGTGGTTTTTAGTACATTTAGTACATAAAGTTGTGTACCCATCACCTCTATTTAATTCTAGAACATTTCTATCACCTCCAAAAGTAATCATGCATTTGTCGGCAGTTAGTCCTAATCCTTCCTTTCCCCCACGCCAGGCAACTGTTATTCTACTTTCTGACTCTATAGATTAAGAGGCACTGTAGGCTGGGCGCAGTGGCTCCCGCCTGTAATCCTTGTACTTTGAGAGGCCGAGGAGGGAGGATCGTTTGAGCTCAGGAGTTCGAGACCAGCCTGAGCAAGAGCGAGACCCTGTCTCTACTAAAAAAAATAGAAAGAAATTAGCTGGACAATTAAAAATATATAGATAAAAAATTTGCTGGGCATGGTGGTGAATGCCTGTAGTCCCAGGTACTCGGGAGGCTGAGGCAGAAGGATCGCTTAAGCCCAGGAGTTTGAGGTTGCTGTGAGCTAGGCTGACGCCACCACACTCTAGCCCAGGCAACAGAGTGAGACTCTGTCTCAAAAATAGAAAAAAAGGCACTGTAAACTTTTAAGTCAGTATACAATAGTCAAAACCTCTACATGTTGTACTTGTCAAGCTACAAACAAAGTGAAGAAAAAAATAAATAAAAAACCCCCCAGTATCACAGGAAATAAAAGCGGAATGTGAAGTTGTATAGTTTTATCTTAACTATATATGTATATATAAAAAACTGGAAAAAATATGCCAAATTTTAATAGTGATTGCCTCTTGGTGGGCATAGCCTTCTTTCTTTGTATATTTCTCTACTTTCCAAACTTTTTAAAATGAGAATCAAAAAAACGCACCAAAATAAAATACTCATATATCAGTGAGAGTTCATAAATATGTCTATTCCTTCCAGTCTCTTCTGGTCTTCTAGTTTCCTCTGGGAAGAAAGCTCCTCTCTTTAAAGGCCTGTACTAACTTACCCCCCAGGAGCTGCCAAAAAGTTTCCAGCTGCTGCATTGGCCGGGAATCGAACCCGGGCCTCCCGCGTGGCAGGCGAGAATTCTACCACTGAACCACCAATGCTCCAGCTGAGCACTACTTTGCCTCCAGCTGTTTTGCTGCTCTGACTTGCAGTGGTGACAGTATAGCTGTAATCTGACACTTGAGACAAGCCCAGCAAGGACCACTGCTCAATTCTAGCAGCCAACCAAGGTCCATGGGACACACATGCTTGACATTCTGCTCAGATGTTCACAAGGGAAGTCTGCGCATGGCAACAGGAGAACGTGCTTTAGCAATTCTTTTGGCTCCTGGGTGCAGGTTCCAGACCTTCCTCTGTTATCCTTACAGATTTGAGCAGGGTGTGCATCAATTTACTCTCTTGCTGATTCTGCAAAGGTGGACAGCATCCCAGTGCTGATCTGTCACCTCTCAGTGAGAAAAGATGCCCAAGAGATATGAAAACATCGGGTAACATCGAGAGTCAAACTCCAGATACTAATCAGCATAAAAGTAGTTTTCTTTATGTTACAGATAAACAAGGAAACGTTAAAGGAGTTTGAAAGACTAGAACAACTACATTTTTAAAAGGAACTGAATTGGGGCAGTGAAATTCCCGAGTATTGAGTAAACTGAAGCTAGAACTTTCCTGACCCTCCCTCCGCTGAGAACCACACGCACGGTAAAGGCAGCGGGGCCTGTAGGTGGCTGGATGTCCATGGCCAAGAACTGAGTGCGTCCTGAATCCTGGTACCCCCTCCACGCTCCAGACCTCCCTATCCTGAAAACAGCTATTTCCTGTAGCTGAGCCCAGGACAAAGATTAAGCAAAGGCTTAGTGGCCTGTGCGGCAGTAAGGGTTAAGACCGTGGCCTCTGGAGGCCACCTAAATAGGTTCAAGTCTCATCTCTACCCTTCACCTGCTGCCGGTCATGCTGCTCTAGTCCCCTGTGCCTATCTGCAGTTGCCACCTTGCTGGGCTGTTGCCAGCACTACTTAACATGTATAAAGCAGCCCCAAGGCAAGTCCTGTGACTTCTGGCTGGGGCTCCTATGGAGGGTGAGGGGCCAGGGGCAGAGTTTACTCACCATTGCCTGCTCCTTCCTGTTTCGCCAGGGTGTCATCGGGGTGGGGTTCTGCCTGCCTCTGGAGCGCTGGCTTCGGCTCGTCCGGCTCATCGTCCTCAGGGGTGACCAGCTTCATCAGACTCTGGTTGCACACATTGGCCACCTCCTTGATGCCTGAGTCACTGATGTAAGGAGTGGCCCTACCCAGGGGGGGTCTTCTCTAAGCCTGGTGTCCCCGGTCAGGAGCTCAGTCCTCCCCAGGGGCTATGCTGGGCGGACAGGGAGTCTGAACTCTGCCCCGGCTCTCCGTGCTATCCTGGTGCCCCTGTGAGATGCTCCTCTTCTTCTCATAGGTTCCCTTCCAGGTGACCCTCCCACTACAGGGTCGGTCCCTCGACTTCACAGTTCCTTAGGGGCTGCTCTGGTTTCTTCTCTCCCAGAGCAAAGGATACTTTTCTTGCGGTCATCGTAGGCCAGGCAGGGCAAGACGGCGGTCAGGATCCCAGAAGAATAGGGCAGCATCACCCGGCCGGCCAGCTGGATGAACTCCCGCATCCAGCACATGGCTGTCAGCTGGATGAGGTCGTCTGGAAGGGGAATCGTGGGTTCCTGGGGACTGGCATAAGCAGCCGCAGCGCTCCCTGCCACCGACTGTCCCCAAGCTGTCCCCAGCTGGCTTGCTCTGTTACCTGCCTACTTTGCTCTCCAAGGGAACATTCAGGCACAGGCTGGTGTGGAATGACGATCCTGTGTTAAACTGTGAAAGGAGCCCTCCCTGCATCCCTGCCCCTCTGCAATGCGACTCCGTATCTCCTCTCATCAAGAAGTGGGGTTTATCTCCCTACTCAGGCCTGATTGCCCCTGTTGCCCCAGCCGATAGCCAGATGACCCAGCCCAGCCAACCCTCCAGTTCACCGTACGTGCACAATTAAGCCCACCCAAGCCTGACCCAGGTGAGCAGAACCACCCAGGTGACCAGTAGACTCATGGCCACTAATAAGTGACTGTTGTTTTATGCAGTTATGTTCTGTGGTGGTTTGATACCCACCAGCTTATTGATACATAATTCCAACCTCTAAGCATTTCAACTCTCAGTGCTAAGGCCAAGTTCACCAGCAGGGAGGCCTCTGGATCTTACTTCACTCCAGGCTACACCGGGTGAAAGGACATCCATGTCGACAGAGAACCTAGATCTCCTGCTCACAGAGACCCTGCTCCCAGGGCCCAGTGTCACACGGGTTACCACTCCTCCCAGGACTCTCTCCTGTCCCTTGCTGAAGCCGAGATGGCGGTGGCCATGGGGCTTAGCCACACTCACCTGTGGTCTGGCAGTGGATCACCAGGATGTTGGCCATCTCGGCAAACTTAACACTGGAGGGGTTCTTCTTGATTTCTTTCAAGAATTCTCCAAGAACGACCTCACACCTACCGATGAGAAAGGAGAGTGGAAACAGCACGTGTCAGCCAGGGCTGAGGAGCCCCAACCGGCACCCAGTTCTGCTCGGGGGCGGCCACCCAGGGGGCGACTACACTTGGACACGTGGCGGATGAGTGTTCCCAGTGGCTGATGGCTTCTGAGCTCTCAGCTCCTCGAACAGGAAGCACGCCTGCCAGGAAGAAGAGTGGGGCTCATTTCTTGCCCCTCGGCTGCACCCGTCTGTGCTGTGGGGTACTTGCGCACAGCAGGCGGCCCTCACATTTTCCGAATCTCTTTGCCGTTGTCGCCCAGGATCTGGAACAGGCCGTCCAGGATCTCGGGCAGGTAGTCCAGCAGGTTGATGTCTGGCACGGACTCCAGAACCAGGATCTGCCCGAGGGAGGAACACAGGAGGGGGAGTCACGCCAGCCTGAGCAATTAGTCTCCTCCTCCCTTATCCTCTGGGCCTGGGCAGTGGGAAGGGGACCCTGCTGCATGTGTCCCATGGGGGAGGGGATGCGAGCAGCTATCACGTCCCTCCAGGGGAATGGTAATTTGACTCTAAGGAAATCCAGATGCCTGGGGAGAAGGGAATGGTTGAGGAAGGATGACAAAGCTAGGAAAGGCGTGACTGCTGGGAGTAGCACTGCTGCCTTCAAAGAGAAATCTGGGTTTCCCGGGACAAAAAATGAATTGGATCCCTCCAGGGCCAACATGATGGGCTTTGGGGGCAAAGCTAAATGAAATATCTTCAGATTGTCAGGTGTCACTGGCTATTCTAGGGATAATAAGGAGGCATCCTATGACTGAAGGGACTGCCAAGGGTGTTCCAGAGAGCACATTTTACTAAACCAGAGGCTCATTCAACTAGAGGCTGGAGAGACAGAGTCGGGCTGGACCTTACCCAGGAGATGATGAACTGTCGGGCGTACTGGTTGTTGGAGTAGATCCTCTCCCGCAACAGGGGGATGAAGCCCACCAGGTCAAACTTGCTGCTCTCAGTCACGATGTCCTAAGGGCCAAAGGAGCGTGAGCTGCCAAGAGCCAGAGACCAGGGCTGGCCCAGGGCTGGCTCCAGGGCTCAGGTGACCACAGAGGAAAATGACAGAGCCTGAGCCAGGCGGGAGAGGCCTCTGGAGTATCCGTCCTGGCGTAGGCCAGAGAACAAGCAAAATTGGTGGATGGAGAGCAGGACTCAAAGTGAAGAGAATTAAACCAATGGCAAAACCATCTTCTCTGGGGTCTGGATGGATCTCCCAGTCCCTGTTCTCGGGAGCAACAGCACAAGAGGATGTTTAGGGTGATGGCACAGTTCTGCATTTCTATGGTGGTGGTACACAGCTCTATACATGTGTCAAAGAACTTCACCCAGAAGAGTAAATGTTATTGTATGTAAATTAAGATACTAAAAAAAAAAATCTGGAAGAGCATCCCTAATGATAGAATTTCTAAGCTGTACAGACAGATGGGAGAAACGGATTCTAGAAATAGAAGTGGCAACAAAATACAAATACCTTTAAAAGGCGGTCTAGGAGCTCGGATCCGCTTTTCACATTGGGGTCTGGGTCAGCAGCCAGCTGCGAAGGGGACAGAGGTGAGAGATACAGGGACTGTGGTCACACTTGAATAGATGACACTGATCTCCTGCAAACCCAGGGCCAAGGCCTTGGTGCAGCCTGGAACACCTAACAGCACCTCTCCCAGCAAGCAAATTTGGGGTGCTGGGGATGGGCAAGACAGAGCCAGCTAAGAAGCCCCACGAAGCAGATCCCCTTCTGCTCAGGGACATCTCCTGTGACCCGCTGGGTGCCTGCTCCCTGCTGCGACTGGGTCGGGGGTCACTTCCCATCACCCTTCCTCAGGGGGTTCCAATCTTAAAATGCTGAGTCCTCTCTCCTCTCCTGGAGAAGGGATGGGATGGCTTCAAGATGATACTCTAGAAAGGACCAGGGCATTCTACAGGGACAGTAGCACTGCACGGTGGCTCTGCACTCGCTTGGGAGGGGGACGCCACGAGGCTGAGAGAGGTGCGGAAGAGAGTATCAGGGGCTCCAAAGCCCTGCTGGGAAGAGCTGTTTCTAGAGCACATGCGCACTAGAAATCATCACCCTCCTGGCACGGGAAACACCGTCTATGCAATGGATTCACTTCCATCCCCGCCACCAGGGAGGTCAGCGTTCCTCAAACTATCAGTTTTTTCCCTCCACTGTGTGGTACACTGATACTTTCATAACATGCAATAAAAATGCACAAATGAAAAAAAATGCAAATGTAAGTGCATTTAAAAACAATCATTAGATTCAACAGGCAGTAAGTGTCCCTTGCAGCCATGCGTATCTGCTCTGCCTGCATGTGGGGAAAGGGACCCAGGCACCCAAGGTCCCAGGAGGTCAAGTGCGGTGCATGGACTGAGCTCGGCCCAGCCGGCAGAAGCAGTACCTTGCTCAGCCCGTCAAAGAGCACGTTGAAGTGGGGCAGCACGGCGCCTCGGGCCACCTTGACAATGTTGTAGAGAGCCTCGCAGGCGTAGTAGCGCAGCCTGCTGTCCGCGTCGTTGAAGCAGGTCAGCACCGGCTCGATCAGTTCCTTCAGGTAGAGCCCTGAGTCCTGCGATGGGGCAGGAAGGGGAGAAGACAGCTCAGAAGGGATCGCCTGACATCCGACTCCCTTGGAGATGCTCAGGCCTGTGTGAGCCCTTCCCGAGCCTGCTTCCCAGGAGAGGGACCACAAAGCCAGACCTGCTGGTCTTAGGTGTGGAAAGGTTAGCCGATAAAACACAGCTCTGCAACGCCCTGCTGGGACTTGGGAGGGAAGGCGACTGGATGGCTCAGAGACAAGGCCATGGCGGGTGTGTTTGTCCCTGGGGAGAAAGGCCCACCTTGCCCAGCGCGATGGAGCAGGCGGCCAGGCCGATGAGGCCCCCTTTCCGGCTGTGGGGGTGCTGAGACAGGGCGAACTCCTGGGACAGGGTCTGGATCACATGCTTGATTTGCATGGTATTGTTCTGGGCCACGAACTCCCGGACCAGCCTGGAGAGAGAGGAGAGAGGGGCTGTGAGGATCAGGCCACCCCTGCTGTTGGCTCTTGGAGGAAGAAGGGAGGTGACCTGTATAGAAAGAGGAACCGAGAGTCAGGCATCTCAGGCAGGTCTTCCCAGTTCTGCTGCTGGCTGGGCCCTGGGTGCTTCCCTACTCTGGCTCTCAGTTTCCCTTTGTGTGCAACAAAGGATCAGCTGTGTCTGGAACAGTGGCTCTATCTCACTTCCGGGTATCTGAGAGAATGCAAGTAAATGTCCCATTGAAGACCAAAAAATACAGTGCACTGTCAGTTGATTGACCATCTTTATTCAACACTCGCTCAACTTTCCATTCATGCATCCGAGAAGCTCTCTGCATCTGGGCCTTTATTTCCAGGGACAGTGCTGGGGACACACAGCTGGACCAGGTCGCAGTCCAGTGGGCTAGATCCACATACAAACAAGTAACTGCAGCAAAGTGACACAATCGTCATCATAGAAGCAAGAAAACACAATAGGCCAGGTCTCCAGGGCCGTCCAGGAGGGCTGGCAGAGAGAAGCCAGTTGAGTCAGATCTTAAGAACATTCGAGGCATTTTCCAGGTAAAGAATGCAGGGATGTCTTGGGCGCAGGGAAGAACCTGGTCAAAAGCAAAGAGTGCTGAGAAGATGTTGCATATTGAGGGCAGGACTAGGTGTCTAGAGTGTGTAAGGAACAGGTAGGGATAGTTAAGGAAAAGAGGACCCAGTGCAAGTTTTCCAGCAAGGGATGACGACACGCCCAGAGCCGTGATTTACCAGATACCTCTGGTGGCAACTTCGAGAAGCAGAGCTGGGGTGGGGGCAGGGGTGGGTTTGACAGAAAGAACTGACACTGAGGACAAACCTTCCAGCAGACGCTGCAGCCACTGCGTAAGGAGGATGTGAAACGTGGCTGAGGCGGTGGGAAAGAACAGGAGGGATTATTTCTAGAATTAAACAGAAAAGCATCAGTGGCCCATGCAATGCAGGGGTGGGTGGGTAGATGGCACCTTCAAAGTGTCTCCCTGGGTAGTAACGCTAACTAGAGGAGGGGGGTACGTCAGAGGGAGGCTGCCTTTGGGGGAGGGCTCACCCCAGGCAGGCCCTGCCCTGAGCGGAGAAGAGCTGAGGGAGGCCTGGTTCTGTACAGACCAGTCTGTTTTTAGAGCCCCATGGACAAGGAGGCCAAGCCTCTGCCCTCCGGAAGCTCACAGCATCCCTGCAGCGAGAGGCCCCAAGTGTGATGATAATAGCCCCAGATCACTGCTGGGGGAGCTGAGGCTGGGGCGGTCAGGGAAGGCTTCCTACAAGTGGGATGGGAGCTGGATCCTGCAGGAGGCAGGGGAGAGAAGGAAAAGGGCCTTCCAGGCAAAAGAAACTGTGTGAGCAAAGGCAAGGAGGGGGAACTGGCCAACCTTGCCCGGGACCCCAGGAGACAGAACAGCAGCGGGAAACCTCGAGGATACGTGGGCTCTGGTAACTGGGGCATCCCCAGCTAGGAGAATACAGATTTCACATCACGTAACAGGAGCCTCTCACGGTTTTCCTGAGCACGTGAAAGAGTGTCTTGAGGAGCCTGGGGAGGTGTGCGGGGTACAGCCACTGAAGGTGGGAAGAGGAGGTCTAGAGACCGTGACCGTGGACTTTCAGAAGCAACTACAGAGACGCACTCTCTCCTCACCTTGCGTGCAATCGTGGCGGGTACATTGCTCGCCTGTTGCATAAACGGGATCTCAAGTGGGCTTGAAGAATTTTAAGAATGGTCATGTCCAAAAAGTATTAGTCTGTGTGGTTCCAGCTCAGTGTCAGGAACTTCTAGTAATGAGAGCTGCTCAAAACCAAATGTGCTGTTCTGTAAGACAGTGACCACACCTACACAAAGGTTGTTCAAAGAGGGGTTGGCAGTGGTTTGATAAAGACTTAATACGGCAAATCATATGGATCGCCTATTGTGTGCCAGGCACTGTTCATACAAAAAGGGGCACAACAGGCCTCGCTCGTGGCTGGTGGAGTTGGAGCAGAGATGGGTATTTCAGGAAGGAGCTGTACAAAGGGCCTATGAAGTGCCTCTTGCTCTGCTCTCTACGGGGTGGAGGGATATGGATGGAAGATGAATGCCAGTTCATAGACTCCAGCTCCCAAAGTAACAAGGTGTGGCAGGGATGGTTCCACATAAACCTGTCTGGTCTCCCAAACTGGGCAAACCAGCCAGGTGAGGCCTGGTGTGACCTGCCAGAGTGCCTGTCTCTGAGTATTTATAGAGAGAGACAGCCCCTTGGGAAAAGCCCTGCAGGTACCACAGAGAACAGCTGGAGCATTGGTGGTTCAGTGGTAGAATTCTCGCCTGCCACGCGGGAGGCCCGGGTTCGATTCCCGGCCAATGCAATGCAGTGTTGCTTTTATTGCCTTTTCCTGACCAGTTTCTTCCCAGAGATTCCATTGGAGGAGGCCATCTCCTCAAGCACACCAGGCCCGGGTGCCTACAAATCTGGCACCACGCTTCCTGCTGAGCAAGCGTGGGAGGAGTGGCTGGGTTCTGCAGAGAAGCACTCACTACTGGCAGTGGAACCATGGCATTGGTGCCATCACCCTATGGGACTCCTGCTGTGCTGCCCTTGGCCTTGGCCAGTCTCCAGCAGGAAGCTGGAGTGAAACCTGAGAACAGTGCAACAGCCCAACACAAGTCCAAGCAGAATGGAAAGTGGGGATTCAAACACCAAAGAGGGGACAGTCCCCCAAAGTCCCAACACGCTTTTCTTTCTGACAAAGACTTAAGCTCTCGTTTCTGTCCAGAGGTATGAAGGCAAACCACTGCACAGGCTCACCCTCCTGTCTGCAGTCTAAACTTTCTGTCCTTGCAGCTGTGCTGACGTGGCAGCATCAGGGACTAGCTTTATGTTCTGTGAGCCAGCATACACACACAGAGGCCCAGGAACAGCGTTGAAGGGAGGTGTCCACACAGCTGCTGACAGCTGGAGCATTGGTGGTTCAGTGGTAGAATTCTCGCCTGCCACGCGGGAGGCCCGGGTTCGATTCCCGGCCAATGCAGCAGTCATTTTTTTAATCTTAAAAGATTGAATTGGAGACTTCAAATTGCCTAAAGAATTTGTAAATACACCCTGAAAACCAAGAGTAACTTGTTTCTAGCTTGGATTTTAAACGCCTTTGACAAAAACCACTCGGTTTCCTAAATTCGATGAAGATCCAGAACCTGGTCTCTTTGCTCTTGAGTCCAGGCTGTGGGGAAGCCCACTGAAAGCAGCTGTGCCTCGCCCACGTCTGCCCAGACAGCCTGCTGGGAAGCTGGGACACATCTCTGGGTGGTACAAGTCAGAGTGGCACCAGGAGCTGGGTGTGGACATCTTAGACGTGTCAGCAGGGGATCCAAAAGACCCAACGTGCGTAGCAACACCGACAGCCCTGGGACCACCAGTCCTGTCTCCGTATTTCAGGTCATAAACATTCCCTGAGCGACCAGAAAGGGCTCCTCCCAGCGTGTGAGGTGCATTCCCCACCCTTGGGGGCTCTCTGCCCCGTGGGAGTAAACAAGAGAGTACTCAAGCACTATGGTGCAAACAGAGAATAAAACCGATAAGAAAAGCGGAAGGTGACCAGGGACAGGTAAGAAAGGGAACACTCGTGTCTGGTGGGAGGCATGTGGCGAGGCTTCCTGAGGTTTGGTGCTGAGAGGGGCTCTGTGAAGGCTTCCAGAACAGTGTTCTGGAGCTGTTCGGGACGAGGCTGGACAGTGGCTCAGAGGAAGGAAGACCAGGTATCTGGTTCGGCAGAAGCCAAGGCCACAGGAGGAGAAGTGGATGACAGGCGGGAGAAGCTGCTCCCTGCCATGTGGCTCGGGATCCTGAACGCTCGGCAAAGGACCTGGCATTTGGTCCTGGCGGCAGCGAGGAGCGGGAAGGCCGTGAACAAGCGAGCGAGTGAGTGAGCTTTAGGAAGGCCGTCTGCAGTGGTGGCGTTGTGGATGTGACAGCTCACAGGGAGCCCTGAAGAACAGCGGGAAGTACAGGGACTGCGACTCTAATGTCAGGTGACAGCCTGCAAGAGTCACGGGGCCTCCTGAAGGGAGAAGATGGGAAAGGGGGACATGTGTGCTCCACACCCCCTCATGCAAGTGCAGCATGACACTAGCTTCTTCTTGCTCGACGCCAGCTGGAAGGCTTCTCCCACTGAATCTTACCAGGACTCAATTCAGGGCAGCCCAGGCCACTACAGAGACGACGGCCCACTCTTCAAGTCCTGTGGCTCCATATGCTTGCACTTAAGGGTAGACTATTCATCTCCAGGCTGGAGGGAAAGCTGTGAGAACACGTTCTCACCAAAGGCATCAGCCTGGAGAACACTGGGGCTGGCAGCAGGGTCAACTCCTGGGTCACAAGCAGGAAGAATCTGCTCCAGGAATCGAGCCCATACGCTTACCTGGCACCTGGGGCAATCAAAACAGGGCCAGGCCGTCCTCTGTGGCCTTCCTGCTGGTCCCCAGCATGATCCTCCTCTCCAGCCAGACCTGCCTTCTGCACGTCCCATTAGCCCCCTCTCTGGAAAAGCTCCCACTTCCTTCCACATTCGTCCAACCCAAGTCCAAGCCCCTGCTTTTCCTGACTACCCCAGGAAGTGAGCACTTCTCCTCTGACCCTGAAGGACTCAGTGATCCCTCCTTCTGTGCCCAGCAATGCACTGTCGGATGTCACCAGTTAAGTTCCTTCTCATGTGTACATTGCTATTTCCTCAGCTTCTTGATAAAGTCCTCGCAGCCTGGCGCCGTCGTCTCTGTGTCTCCAGCACCCGCCCTCTGAGTCTAGCACTTTGCGCAGAGTAGGCTGGGAATCAGTAAACACCTGTCGAGGCCAGCACGAGTGACAGACGACACGAGCTGCATGGCAAACCTGGGCAAAGCCCCATTCGGCCATATCGCTGCCATGGGGGTGCTCCATGAACCCAAACCCAACCTGCTGGGTTAAATGAAATTGCATTTGGA